TTCAGCTTTTCTTGTGCTTTTTATCTGACATTTCAGGTTTTATCATTGCTTGGATCTCACAATGCATTATTAAGGTGCTGCAAATGCTTTTTATAGCAGTATCACATCATCTATCCTCATACAGTACAACCTTCTTGTCTGCTGGAATATGTTCTTGGACTTTTGCTTGGATATGTGAAACTGAAAGGAACAAATGAACCCTACTATTTTTAAATAGGATTAGTGACAGAAATACAAAGAAGAGGGTATAACTTGTATGATAGGCCCTAGGTCAATAACTGAATATGTGAAACCATGGATAACTTAAAACACACATAACAGTTTCATAGATATGGGTGTTGTACTATATATTTTATTATTTATTTATTTACAGTATTTATATACCGCTTTTCTCACCCCGAGGGGGACTCAAAACGGTTTACACATAAGTAATGGCAAAATTCAATGCCAGTACAAACAATTACAATTATACACTACAGTTAGACATAAATCAAATTAAAACAAAACATCCATAAGCAATAAAACAATCATTGAAACAATAAAACAGTCTCGTCCTCAATGTATTCAATGAATCATCTCTCTTCTCACTTAGGTTCTGTAATTCTGTTCACTATGCTGGTTCACCATTGCCCACTAAGGCACCATCTACATTGCCATGTAATGCAGTTTCAAACAGCATTATATGGGCAGTGTAAACTTATATAATGCAGTTTAATGCAGTTAAAGTGGTTAAATGTAAGGGCAGAAGCTTTGCATGAAGAGAAGAAAGGTTCATTCTCCAAGGATAATACTTTGTCCAGCATTCCCAAGCATATTTCCTTTCACACAAAGGCTCTATACATATGGAACCAAGTGCAGTCATTCCTTCCGTATCTGATATACAACCCTTTCCCCCTTTAACTTGTTGGGTGGCAATCTATTTGACTATTGCACTATGGGTAAACTCAAGACTGTGGCATCCATAGCACAATCCACTGTGCAACAGTGGGATCCAGGTATTATATACAGTATAACCCCCATTCCCGTGGGACTGATTCCCATGGATTCATTTACTCACATCCAACAAAATATTTATTTATTTATTTATTATTTATTTATTTATTTACTGCGCTTATATACCGCAATTTTCAGCCCAAGGGCGACTCATTGCGGTGTACAACATGAAAAAACAAGTGCAATTTACAAAACATAGTGCAAAATAGTCCACAATTCATCATTATAATAAAACACATCTTATCAAAACAACAACATTACTACAAAATTTCTACTACATTCCGAATCGTCTCATCGTCAACCCACAATCCGATATCATTTCCGTTGTTCCATTCCTATGGTCAAATTACCAGTCATTGCACTTCTTGATCAAATGCCTTCTTAAATAGCCAGGTCTTTAACTTCCTTTCTAGGAATGTTCTTAGTCCTCTAGGCAATCAATTCTGGAAGTTACCATAGATTCTCCCTGGAGAACTCCTAGGATACCTCTTTAGGAATTTGCTGAGTTCTTGAGGGCAATTCTGTGGTAATTTTTGGTGGAAGTCTTCATTTAAATAGGGTTCACTATTATCCAAGGTTCCCTGTTTCCACAGGAATGTTTCCACAGGAAAGTTCAGGAATGTCATCCCCATAGATATTGTTGTGAAAGTATATAGGTTTTTCTCTTCTTCATCAGCAATGTAATAGAAGAAATCCTTATCCTCCATATAATCCTACTAGATAAGTACGTGTGTAATTGAGATCTGGAGATAAACAGGGTCATTGTTCTCTTGGTCTCTCAAACACCAGAAATTGTGCATTGATAATCATTTAATGGACTTGATATCATAATAAAGTTTGCCAATTTCAAGTTTGTGCATCAGTGGTGTGCATTGGATCTGACCATGGTGGTACATGCTATTTGGCAGGCATCTATACTTCCCATATTTCTCTGTCCTAAAGACCATTGCCTTCAATCAGGCATGTAGCCGGGGGCGGGGGGTGGCTTTGGGGGCTTCAGCCCCCCACCCCCGAAATTCTCAGGATGGTCTGCAAAAAGGCCTTACTGGTACATTATTGAAACTGTTATGTTTATTCATATCATGATCTGATTACCATGCTCAATATATCCCATATGCATGGGGGTATTGGGGTAACGATACAAAACCCCCCACCCAGCCCCCCCCCCCCCGAAACAAAATCCTGGCTACGGACCTGCTGTCTGGACTACAGTAATGTGCTCTTTCTTGGGGCAGGATACACAATTTTGAGGGAAATGGCAGGATACAAATAAATCATATTTATTTAATTGAATCACATTTATACTGGATGATGGGAGTCCTAGCCAGCAGGTAGGCTGTGCCCAAACTATCCATTACTATATATACTTGTGCATGTCGGACGCGTGTATAAGTAGTCAAAGTCAAGGTTGGGAGGATGGAATTATGGATTTTTATACAACCTGTGGATCTTGTTGCAGAGAGGGGAAAGCACCAATGCCAACTCAGTAACTTCTTTGTTCAGACATTCAAAAAGTCTAGAGACAGCCCCACGGCAAAGAGAAAGGAAGGGATTGGTGTTTCTTTTAAGTTCTCCCAGGATAAACTACACCCTCACCTTTTGCCACTCTTCTCAGAGAAGGGGATGGTTCCTTTTTCTAACATTGACCTATGGAAAATTTGATCCAGGTTTTTGTGGTTGATATTTTTACTAAAATTTCTAGACTTATACATGAGTATTTAGGGTATGTGCCGTCAATCTCATACTCCAACAAGGTGATGAGCATCAGCATTCTACACCAGCTGCAGTTTTCAAATCCATCTCAAAATTATCCTCAAATAGAACACATTGCAGTAATCCAGTGTCTACTTTGATTTTGTGTTCTCTTTCAAGCTTATTTCAAGGTAATCTGATGACCTTCTCTCCTATCCAATTCTGGTGGACCACTGAGATAATCTGGAAATACTCTATTATGTCTCTTAAACCCATGTGAAGTTCAATTGACGGAACAGCAGAGCAGAGACTTTTAACTTGGTCTAACTAGCTTTTGAAACATGTTAACTCTAAAGTTCCATTTGAACCCTGTGTCAGTATTCTGTTGCTTAAGATACTTTTGGGTCAACATGTAGCCTGATGATTTTAATTCTGCTGACATTCTGGACTGCCCCAGGTATGATGCTTAACAATAGCATCCCTTTTTAGCAATCTGGGATCTACACCAGGCCCCTGTGCTTCTTTCTATTGAAAGCATGAGCGGGCTTTCAATAAAAATGAGTTCTGCTTTGTAGCCCTGGAAGCCTTTGAGTGGATCAGAAGCTCTTAGCATGCAAGCTGGAAAACATTTATATAAAACAATTATCTGGTATGCCGACTAGCAATGCTGTGTTTAAAATGGGAACTCAGGTATCCAGACTAGCCAAAGTTTGCATGGTACAGGAGCTTTGGTACATAACCTACCTTTGGCTGTTTTAAGAATAGTGATTAACATAGATATAAAGGTAATGATTAAAGATTTTAATTGCTAGCAACAAATAAATGTGTGGAACTCAGAAATAAAGAATGAAACCACCAAATTCTGCCTCTGCTTTTAGGTGTAGTTGTTGGAGATCAACCCGAGACTCCTGAGGCTGAAGTTCACTGATTATTTAGAGAGGATTGTGGGATTGCTTGTGGGATTTCCTGTGGCTTGAAGTGATAAAGATTCAAGTCAGGGGAAGGATGCTTCTCTCTGTGAGAAATCTGTTTTGGAAAGTGCAGTGCTTCAAGGTCATTCAGAGGAGCCAGAAACTGCAACATTAGGAGTTGCCGAAGAAATAAGTGATACAGAAGGTTCTCCTGGAGTTATGGAGATCAACAAAGGTCTTTGTTTACAGATCAGAGCAGAACATAGGCTTTATAGGTCTGAGCACTTACATGGGAAAGTTGAGGAGAGATTTTGTGGGGGAAAACATGACTTCATGGGTGTCTATTAATTAGCAAGTTGTTTACCTAAGAGTTAGTTTAGACAACATAATGTTCAAGTCAGAAGCTAGGCCTGAGTTCTCTGGTTCTTGTTTCAAATCAAGCCTTTGGTTTTGGATTTTAGTTTCCTGGAAGTATTCTATGTTCTTGTTTTTATATTCCTGCTCAAGTTTTACTAAGTAGACCTTTTGCTTGTGGATTTATGCTATACTTCTGACATTTTGGCTATTCCTGCACCGTGTTACCTTAGGATCTGCATGAGACATTTTGATTACTCTCTGGATTATCATCTATTGCTAAACCTTTTTGGATTGTATCTTTACTTTCTTCATTCCTGCTTTTTTGCTTATAGTTTTAATGTGTTTCTTCAATAAACTGTTTGCTTACATTCTGGACTCTTGTGTGGTATTGTGGTCATAGGGGTTCCCAGACCTGGAGTGCAACAGTAATGCAGAACCCCCTGATTTAGAATACCACACATTACCCAGAGTTCTTTAGATGAGGTTTTGTAGATAATGCTAATGATAAGTGCCATCACTGTACATGATGTTTTACAAGTAAAAGGCTTACAATCTAATTATGACATGACACAAAAGGAAAAATGGAGAGTAGTGTGAGAGAAGTTTAAGTCCAGCAGATACTGCCTCTTCTCTTCCTCTGAGACTACAACCAGGGAAGTGGCAGTTAGTACAGAAGAAGGGTCTTTCATCTTCTCCTGGGCCTAGACATGATGGGGTCTGTGCCTGTTTCTTTCCCACAGTGGCAATAATAATAGGTTTTCTAGTTATGAAAGAAGTGCCAAGTAAACCAACAGCCTTCAAATGATTTTAGGACCCTAACACCCCTTGTACTTTCACAGGAGAATCTAATTGCTTTTTCCTTTTTCATGAATCAGTGCTGGAGTTTTTATTTGGCACTAGAAATGGATGAGACTTCCAACACAGGATTTTGGAGTTTATTTTTTCTTTGCTCTTTCTCCCTCTCTCTTTCTGTCAAGTTCATCATAACTAGTCATCTTCCCACTGTTTGCTGCATCCTCTGATTCACTCCAATGTTGTCTCTTTCAGATACCTTGTGTGTTTGACGCAATTTGCCCAACACTTCCTCCCCAACGTGAACATTGCCAGCAGGCACAGGTTTTTCTGGAGACGACAGCCATTCATGTGCTTAGAAGGTAAATGTGGTATTCATTACATTGTCTCCTTTTCCTTAATTTGTCCCAGCTTGGATGTCACAGCTGGTGTCATGCACTCAGCCTCCTCTTCCTGTTTTGTTGGAAAGATCAAAAGGGGTGGTGTATGTATGTTCATGTGTGCACACATGAGTTTTAATTTTAGATCAGTTTTCATGCCCTCCTGAAATTTCGGCTGTGTTGCTCTCGGAGAGAGTTTGCTCCCAATTGAAATCCTACCTGCTGTGTGTAGAAAAGAAAGAGTGTCTCTTGACTCAGCAGCAGAATGAACAAACCCCAGGCATTCATATCTTCTTGTATGCCTTCAGGTTGTTTCCACCTTATGGTAAACCCATTATTGAGCTTTCTTGGTAAAATGTGTTGCCAGTGTGCAAAAACCTGGCAAGCCCAGTTAAGGCAAGTGATGAAACATTAATTGTGTTCATAACTACTCCACTTTCAGAGTGATCACTACATACCTGTGACTTAAAGGATGTATCCAGAAGAAGGCAGCAGGCATGTAGTCATGATCAGTCTAGTGAAGACAAGGTGGAAGTATGGCATGATTGCCCTCTTTAAATATATCTCAAAGGTTGTCACAGAGAGAAGGCTTGTTCTCTCCTGGCTTTAAATTACAGGAGGGTAGATGGTAAGAGTGTCTCCACAATGGAATAAGTTCATTAAAGAGATGGTGGAGTCTTTTTCTATGGACATCTTCAAAAAGACATTAGACAGCTACTTGCTAAAGATGTTCTAGCTAGATTTCCTGCAGTGGGCTGGGCTCAGTGGCCTATTGGCCCTCCTCCAACTCTGTGATGCTATAATGATGATGATCACCATCACTATGTGTGTGCTTCCTTATGTAAACCTTTGTGCAGGGATATTGGAAGTAAGTTATGTGGGAATCATGTTGGAATCAAGTTTTTTGGTCTGTATTAATTTATAGTATAAATTCCATACCACTGTATCATATTGTTCCACCAGGCCATTCTCAGCACACCTGATTTTGAAAGCTAAGTATGGGCCTGGTTGGTAGTTGAATGGGAAACCATCAGACAATATCAGGAATCTCCAGGCAAAAAAAGAAGGAAATCTTGCCTGAAATCTTGGAAAATTGATTCTAGTTGGGAGTTGACAATATTGTAATATGGATCAATGGTCTGAATCTATAAAGCACCTTTTTTGTTCCTATATTGCCTTTGAGTATGAAATATAATGCAATGTTAAGCCAATTCAGACCTGTTTTACTTGCATTACTATGAGTGGGAAGCATGGTTCACAAACAAGGTCAGTGTCAATTGTATTTTCTTGATAAGGCCATTCTGGAAAACATTAAGACATAAGGAGGGCTGGCAAGGGCATAAGTATTAGGAAAACTGTGACCTGCCAGATCTTTTCGGATCCCAGTTCACATTATCTCCATCTGCTCACTGGAGAGATTGTGAAAGGTAGGAAATCATCAATATCTAGAAGACCGAAGTTCCTTATCACTTGTATATAGATATAAGAAAATGTTGGATGAGAAGCAAAAGTTCATCTAGTCTGTTGACATAACTTATTCATTAATTAAAATATTGGGGAACCATTTTCTTCCAGCAAGCACCCACAATGCAATATGCGGCTTCTGGTACTTTCTGTCACATCATTTTCCACTTGCAGTGACCCTATGAATGGGAGACCTCCAAGATCCCATGTCAACATATCATATATAATTGTAAAAAAAGAAAGATCTTCGTAAAACAAACAAAATTGAGAAAAGCACCAACCTATTTCAGGCATCTAAGGACCAAAACAAAACTATTCAGTGCTCATATAGAAGCATGAGATATTTCAGTCTCAATTTGTGGTAAAATTCTCATAAAACTAGATCTATAAGACTGACTCTTGTGACACTATCCTGAAGAGTTTTGAGCACACTTTCCGATTTCAACCACTTGCCATGCCCAAGTTGTTGTTTTTTTTTTTACATAAAAGAGCTGGGACAAACCTTGTTTCAGCAAATTTAGAGCACTATCTCATTGAATACTTTTTTGTCCAGTCACTGGAACAAAAAAAAACAACCCCCAAACAAAACCAATTATACCATTAGGTAAAGAATGATGCCAACAGTTAGATGTGACTTGGACCAATGACATTCTCAGAAAATATTACAAGTGTACATTAGCCCCTCCAGCTAGTCCTAACATTACTTCTTTGCTATTATTATAGCTAACCTTCAATACATATCAAAAATTCTCTTAAAATTACTGAAAGCTCTGGATTTTTGTTTAAAATAACAATAAAATCTCAATGGATGATATTGAAAAACCTGTTAGACTCAAGCTCAAAGAAAAAAGGTTTTATGACTTCCTTTAATCTATTTTTGTTAAAGATGTGGCTGTTGAAGGCTTTCATGGCCAAAATCATTTGGTTGCTGTGAGTTGTATGGCCAAGTCCTCACAACCTGAAGATGCCTGCTATAGATGTGGGCGAAACTTCAGGAGAGAATGCTTTTAGAAAATGGCCATACAGCTGGGAAAACTCACAGCAACCCAAAGATCCACCAGTCAGATCTCTTTGGTTTGCATTTTCCATAATTGAGTTGCTACAACAGAAAAAGCCTTGTCCCCATTATTAGCATAGGCTGCCTTTGATGTCAGCCACGCAAACAAGGATTCTAAGGAATATCATAAATTATGGACTTGTTCATATGGATGGAGGCAGTTCCTACTATATTTCTTGGTTGGGGATATAAACTAGACAAGGCTAAAAGAACTCAGACAGAAGTTTTTCCCCCACCCAGTAATGTGAGTTCATTTTTAATGAGAAGATACCAGAAATGGAAGCTGGAACTGCCAAGGTGGAAATCTGTCATTGATTGCATTGCTTGAAATTTAACATACATTTTCATCCTGTTCCTGCTTCCATATCAGGCTATGAGGCTGTATTTTCTTCGCACATGAAAACCGTGCATATTTTTCCCAATGTACATACACCTTTAATTTTCCGTAATATATGCATTTTGGTATGGGTTTTTCCTATTGACACATTAGGTCTAAATGCTAAAATGCATTTTCAAGCCTTGAAAATGTTTATATTTCCACAGTAAGTTTACTTTGTTCCTTTACCAGTCTCAGGACTTGTCTATACTATCCTTATACCCTGCACCAGACCAGAAGACACTTCTGGAAATACAGATGACATCCGGGGACTAGCAGTCTGCAGCACTGGGTAAAGCCAATTAACTCAGTTTTACTCCGTATTAGGAAACGTCAATGAATGCTGCAGAGTTTTGGTGCAGCTTTTCTGCCAGTCCAGAGTATTATTACTCTGAATCGGCCTCAAATTAAGTGGTCTGTGCAGATGAGCCCCTAGAACGTATAAGAAATGTGATACCAAACCAATTCCCCTTCCATCCATAGCTTAAGGTTTTTGCAGACAAAACACCATATAGCAAAAAAAGGCACTCAGATTTAGTTAGGCTTTCTAGAAATTTCTCATGGTTTCTCTGGTAGAAGAATAAGACAGCACATAAACAACTCATCTGAAAAAGGAGAACTGGTTCCTTTGTTCAGTGAAACATCCTTTATTGCCTCGCTTCCCATTGCTATGGCTACTTGGAGGCATTGACAATATTTGTATGCAAAGACCATGCGAGAGCCATTTAGAAAAATTGTTATTGAAAAGAAGAAATATTTTATTATGAAACAGCCATTAGAATTCAAACAGAAAAAGTGCTAAAAGAAATAAAAAGCATCTCTAAGCAAAACCCTATTTGTTTTGTCTATACAAGGCTAGGCGAAATCTGCGCGCTTTTAAGCCATAAAATTGCAGATTGGAATTTATCTTTGTGATTGATACAGAGAGTGTATTATATTTGTGCTAACATCTTCTTCCAAACCTGCTTACTGGTCCTTTCAAGGATCTTCAATCCCAGGCTGGTTGTGTAGGATGATTTGTTGTTCTTAATTAATTGCCATCAAGACGAATTTAACTTATGGCAACAAAGTTACTAAGAGTATTGCTATAGTCTTGCAAATTTGAGGCTGTAGTTTTCTTCATGGAGTATCTTTATTTAGAATGTGGTTCTTCCTCTTATTCTCTTATACTCTGGTTTCTCTTCAGATCGTATAAATCTTATTCTACTGTATTCGGTTTTATCTCAAAGCATTGTTGTCTCTTCAAATAAGTCATGTCATTTCAGTCTTTCAAGTAATGTGGCAGGGCACACAGAGTTAACAAGGGAAGGTGAATACTGCAAATCTAAAAGACTCTTTAGTGTGAACATTTTTAGTGTCTCGCATTCTGCAATGCTACTGTTGCACTCCAGCCAAAGTTCACCTTACCCTTAGCACCAACCAGGAATCCAAAAGCAGTAGTAAAACAGTTTATTGGTAAAAAGTACATATAAAAAAGGGGGAAATCACCAAAAGAAGTAAGAACAGCAAAATCCAACAGGTAATAATAAATAGTCAATAAATCAAAAGCCCAAGCCAACTGGTGAGGAGTAAAACACTTCAAAGGCAATAATCCACATAATCTAAAAGGTGCATGAAAAGAAGAGTCACAACATGAGTATAAATCCAGAAAACAAGAATCAAAACAAGAATATAAATCCAGAAAAATCCATAACCAAAACTCCCAAGACCTTAGACTAAAACCATGAACTGGAACAGGACTAGATATCCTCACAGCTTCACAGTGTTGCCTGATCTGAATTCCCAAAGAAGCGCTCTCTACTTTAAGGACTGCAAAGAAATGAAGTTATTTTTTGATCTTGGCTTTCCGGCTTGTAAAATTTTCTCTGCACTCCTTCTCGGGAAACCTTCTTTGAATACCTGAGCTTAATGTTTTTCTCCCTAAGATTGACCCGGATATCCCTATCTAACCCAGCTGTTCCCTCAGACAAACTGTCTTGGTGTACCAGGTCTTTATCAGGGGTTGCTAAGCTCCTTGTGGGCGAAAGGTCACCACCCTGTCTGCTGGACTCAAAAACAGTTTCACTTTCAAAGCCCATCTCACAG